ACCATGCCGGGTCGGGTCAAGTACATACCAAATAAAGTTATGGACTTAGACACTATATCCAACATTAACACCCCCTAAAACCTCTGAAAGGACACTTCAAATGTCTTGGTGTAACTCCTACTCACCAAGACCAAGTTTGGGACAAAAAGGTGGCAACTTTGGGCTAAAACTAGATCCATAAGAAATATACATCAATGTTGAAGCTTTTTACCTCCAAAAGATGCACCAAGGGAAGTAGATGTTGGATCCAAGGCCTTGAGTGAAACACCACAACCTCAAGGCTCTTTCTTCTACTCCAAAGGCTCCAAAATGACACCAAAAGGGCTCTTCAAGCTTCACAATGCACTCACACACTTTAGGGTTTCGAAACGAGGAAGGGGGTTGAAGATAAGAGGGTGCATGAGGCTATAATGGTACTTAAATAGGGTCCAAACCCTAAAAATTATGGTTTACTCCCTGGCTACGTACGCCCTACGTACTAGCGTACGCTTTGCGTACTAGTACGAAACCAGGTACACCCAGCGTACCAAGGTGTACGCCTAGCGTACCATGCTGCATCCTAAAATTACAAAAAATGCCATTGGGGACTATTCTAGCAAACAAATCACAACTCAAGAGTCAAAAGCGAATACCTGAAAATTATAGATGTTACATGAAGCCACCATCGATTGCTGACTGCTTTGTCTCAATTTCATTGTGTTGGATTTGGATATTTTTTGAGTTTGGGATCTCATTTCTTTCAAGTTGCAAGTTTATTCCCAGATTCCATGATTTCAAGTTGAAGGTTATTGTTTGATTTCATTTTATGGAAATTTTGTCAATTTCATTTTAACAAGTATTTTTAAATCTGGTTATTTCATTTATTGCTTGATGAAGATTATTTCAAAACTAGAAAATCTTCGGCTCCAGTTTTGATTTTCAGTTTTAGTTTAGGTTAGGTTTGATTTTGAGTTTCAGGTTAGGTTAGATTTCAGGTTTTAATTTTGACTTTCAAATTAGTTTGTAGGTTTAGTTTTCATTTCAGATTCCAACAAAAGATGGGTGGAAGGGATGATTTTTCGAAGAAGATAATCGACAATGATGTTCTTAAGGTAGAGGAGGATGATGGTCGGAGGTGGCTGGTGGCTGGAGCTGGCTAGTGGCCGATGGTGGATGGTGGTCGGAGGTGGTTGATAGACGGAGAAGAAATGGGATTGTGTTTAAGGATCGATGGTAGTGATAAATATTTAATAAACAACTTCTTTTAATGGGTTAACAGTTAATAACTAATAATAAAATAAATAAGGGCAAAACGGTCTTTTTATGCCCGGAGGGATGAAGTGTGCAAGTTTTAAGCAAATGAGGGATGGTCTAAGTTAATTTTTGAAAATATGGACTAAACGTGCATTTTAACAATGTAGATTCGTGTAATTTACTTCTTTTATTTCTCTGAGTCGATTTGTTTAGGGGTATTTATAATTTTTTTCTTGCAGTGTCAAACATAATATCTATTAAACTCAAAATTACCTTTTGTTTTGAAGTTTTTGATATAGTTTGTTTGTTTAAAAAAATAAATTTTTGAGTAAATTAGACGAATCATCTATGGTCCGAGTGTCAAATTGCACGTTCACTCATTATTTTGGAAAATTAACTTGAACTGTCTCTCATGTATTTAAATACTACCCGCATAGTCCCTATTGTTGTTAGACGTTAGTTTTCTCCGTTTGGGTACCTCACGTGTCTTGCACGCAGGGGTATTTTCGTCATTTTAAGTCATGTGTATATTATCGATTGCGTATGGCGCCATATCGAGTTCACCCAAACGTTGCATACTCTTGGTATGATTTTGTCCTTAAATTGTAAAAGAAGCGGTAAATTTACTTTTTAATGAGTAAATATTAGTAAACTATAAAAATAAGCGTAAAACAAATTACATATTACAAAGAGAAAAGATAGCAAAACTTAACCAAACAACTCAATTCAGTTATTACTTCTACTCCTACTAGGAATTTGGAAAATGCTTGAGAAACAATTCTATCACAAATCTTCACTCTCTTTGTGGCTTATCAGTTCCAAACATTATAATATTTCGAAAGTCCTAAATAACCCAAACAAACCATCCCTCAGTCGGAAAAAGAGATGCAAGTGTTAGGCTTATAAATTTGCAACCACGTAGCCTTAGCAACAGGACAAACACCAATGAAATAATATTTCAATAAAAATATAAGTGTTATGCTTATAAATTACAATTATCTTACTGAAAATATTATAATATCTTTTTAATACTATTTCTGATTGTACTATGTTATAATAAGGTAATTATAAGAAATATACGTGTTACGCTTATAAATTACAATCATCTTACCATAATATCGTTTTAGTACTATTTCTGATTGTACTATGTTAAAATAAGATAATTATAAGAAGAAGAAGAAACGAGAGAATACATTGTAATTTCAGACATACATTGACAATTTTATAACAAAATGTCACAATCCACAAATTATTTGTAGTACATGAATTAAAAATGATGAAAAAATGCAGCAATTAATTACGAATAAATCTTTACAATGCAGCCTACTTATTTTCAGATTTAGAATATGTCGTTAGTTCGGACTCTTTTACGCCACAATAAGCATCGAGAGCATCTTCGTTTGCACCAACCTTTCCCGTGAATAAATGCTTAAGGAACTCGTCATAGTCGAAGGGGTTGAACAATAATGGGTGTTCTTCATCCACCAATTCGTCTGGGATTTTTGTTATATAGCCAGGCTTGGGGACTGAAAACAGTCCAAGCGAATAACGGGCTTCATTCCCCGTCATCATCACACGATGATACGGAGCATGTAGCAGACCATTCGACCAAGCCTGAAATAGAAAAGATAATTAAAATTAATTAAAATAAAAACAATAGTCTTTTTGTCTTGCAAAATCTATTATAACTATTTTTTTTAAACTTACATGGAAAACCTCTCCCACAAAAACTGTAAAAGAATCTATCGACTGCTCAACTCTGATCCATTCTCCACCTTTGGTCTCGAGCTCTAACCCTGCAACTTCGTTTTGGTACAAAATGGATAGTGTTGTCTTGTCAATATGTGAAACAAGTCCCATGATGGATTCTTTTGTGTCGGGCCCTTGATATTTTGCTACCCGAAGAAGGTGTTTCGTGTTATCCATATGATCATCCGAGTGTTTTTCCAGCCCTAAACTCTCCATAATCATTTTCCTAATCATCCGATCCAACCAATATAACTTATCGGAGATATTCCTAACACTTTCACTGCAAAGAAAAACAAATAAAACAATCATATCAGCCTCAACGCAACCAGTAGATAAAAATGGAATTTTGTAATGGAGACCCCAAATATATAATTTGCCTTTTTTAAAAGCAACCAACAAAGTAGAAAAAAATATAGAATATCATAAGTTCTATTTCTAAAATTAGTTTTCTTTTTTTCTTTTTGCATGATAAAAAAGAAGATTGTTTACAAAAACTACCTGAATACAGGATTGCCATGGGGCCAGAAGAAGTTGGTGAAGGCTTCAACTTCTCCGGCCACCTGAGCATCAGGGATGGCCATGCTTTCATAGAGTGGCATGGTGGGAGAGTGACCGATGTAGCCATGGAAGGGTTTATCGGAGATGCTTTTGAGTTTGGTTTCTGAAGGGAGACTGAAAAGCTGGTCCAATGAACTGAACAATGAACTCTGAAACTCCGACGACATTCCGGCCATGGATGCTCGGAAGAAACCATACTCAGTGAGTGCTTCATGAACTTGGGTTTTGATTGAATTCCAGTCATCTGGCGTTGATTCGTTCAGATAAATCTTTGAGAAATCAATGAGAGGAAGCTTGGTTGGTGTTTCTGATCCCATATTTTTTGATGAATTTGATGTAGTGTGTGTTTCTCTGTGTGTGTTCAAGAACCCAACCATTTTATATTAGTCTTAAACTCTTAATGGTCGGCTGCTTGGTTGTTTTCTCTTAAAATATATTTGGATTAATTCTTAATTAGTGTAACCAAAATTTTCGATATTTATTTTTGAATACTATATATGATTACAACTCTTTTCTTTAAGATGATGTTTTTAATTACAAAAGTTAAGTTTTAAAACATTTGAATACATTTTAGACAGCTTTTAATAGGCTTAGCACTTTAACCATTTAATTTTTAATCAAAACTTCAAAATTCACTATTTAAAATAAAAAGTAACTTAATTAACCTATTTACGATAAATGAATTAAATTTAGCAAATCCCATTTTTATTTACTGGCTTTGATTATTATTTTTTGCGAGATTAAAAATAAATGTAAGATATGAAATAGTAGATAACAATAAAATAAATATATGATGTCCAACATAAATTCATAATCCTTGGCTTTTGTTGGGAGAAGGAAGGGAGGATATGATTCCTTTGTGTTAATGACTTAAAAAACTCCATTTGTCTTCTACCAAGTTTGTAGATCCCTAGACTTATTCGAGGTTTTGGAATATATATATATTTTTTATCATATTTTTATATATAGATAAAATTGCAAGGATGGTCTCTACCATTCTATGGTATGTCAAAACTCGTATGTTTGGTCCAAAAAAATTTAGACTAACACCAATAGTCTAAAAGTTTTATTTTCTTACGAGTTTGGTTCAAATAATTTGATTTTTTTGGAAAGACAGTTTTGCCCTTATTATTTAATTTATGTTTTTATTTTATTACCAGCAACTAAAAATAAAACAAAAATACAATTTTTTTTTCTCTCTCTATCTCTCTATCTTTGTGTTTGATAAACACCCAAGAACATATTCATAGATTCAAAAACATTTTCCGCCACTACCACCGTCCGCCACCACCACCGTTCGACCACCGTCCGCCACCACCACCGTTGGCCAAAACTCATCCAAAAACAAAAACCATACACAAAATATGGGTTTGTTCTTGAGTTCGCCCTTATCTGATGAATACACACGCACGTCATCAGATCCGATGACAACATACACAAAAATCATATCAGATGTACACACACATACACACATAAAATCAAATGAACACACACACACACACACACAAAATATGATGAACACACCCACACACAAAATCAGATGAACACACACACACACACACACACAATCTGATGAAAACCCTAACTGAAGAACGAAATATGATGAAAACCCTAACTGAAGAACAAAATCAGATGAACACACACACACAAAATTTGACGAACACTTGTTTCTCGTCGTTACCCTTGATGCCCATCAAACCTGGAAGATGAAAACCCTAACTGAAGAACGAAGCCGTTATCGGAAAAAGAGATTGACGAAGCTGCCACTACAAACCCTAGCTTTGATATATGTGTCGTTACCGCTACACCACCTATGTACACCACCATCCTCCATTCCATCCTTTGCATCGCCACTTGTTCGAGCTGAAAACACCATCATCACCGAGACAACCTTCCACCATGATTTGTTATACGTCAGTGTTGCAGCGGCGAAACACTAATCAGAGTTAAAAGCACAAACAACACCACCACCGCCAACATCGGTCCACAGTCCAGTCTGTCATTTTGGTAACAAACTTGAGTATTGTCACACCCCGAAACCGAAGGCGGAAACGTTCCGGGGCGGAGGACGTCATGCGTAGTATCACAACAGTTGTATCATAGTAAGCATAGTAAACACAACCATTACATTATAATAAGAATATTTATATTGTTCGAAAACATGGTTTATATATATCAGTATATATAGCAAAAGTAAAAGATGTGACTTCAGGATGTTCCATCTTCTCCAAAAGTTGGCAAA